CGGAGAAAATGATTATCCCGAACGGCTCATCGAGAGAAAGACCACTAGCCGAACAAGTTCAAGAAGCTCAAAATAAGAAACTATTCCTCAGTCTACCTTTTCAAAGAGATGTTATATCGGACCTCTTGAACAAAAACGCCTGACGCATGCAATTAAGGGAACTTACAACGCAGCGGCCATAATCTGAAATTGTCACAAAGATAGGCTACTTACTCTGATCATCTCTACGGCTATCTACTCATTCAGATTCTGTTATAATGCAACGTACGTTGGTGGTGCGGCGATGCATCTACTTCTACAAACGAAGGAACTGTCATCGCTGGCTAAGACAAGGGTCACAGCGACCATAGGAAGAACCACTCTTGGTAATCTTGTGGATACAGGTCATCAAATGAGACCAGAATCCGCGTTCAGGGTTATCTATTATGTGGCTTCAAAACCCCTCTCAGGTATTGAGCTTACACATACTAGCCACTGCCGAGGCGATAGTCATTACCTTTTCGCGCTCCAGTTATGCGCACTTGTCTAGGCTCTTCACTTACTCTGGCTCCAAATTAACCACTAACATCATCATCAACAGTATTCCAATCACAATCAATTTCACCCTAGCACAGAAACCTCGGCCTCAGCCCTCCCCTCTCCCCGTCCCTAATGACCTTTCGACCTAGTGCGAAAATGTGTCCCCACTATCAACATACCCTTATATGCTCTGTGTAGGCAGGATGAATCATCAAAAAATTTCACCTTCGGATTTGTTTTAATGTTACAATGAGTTTATTCCGGAATATTTTTTCTTTTGTTCGCGGCTCTCCGAGTTATAGAATTGTGTTTATAGATAAGTGCTTATAAACCACGGAATCTTATGTATTGAATGCCCAAAAACAACAAGCGCGTTTTATTCATTCTGCAGTATCTTGATTGAGGACGGTTCTTTTGCAATCTACCTAACAAGATAGTCATGCCAGCAACGGAGGTATTAGTGACAAAATTGAGTCACCACATTACTGCCTCTGTTTGTTAACNTAACTGCTGGGATTCATGACTAATTACAATCAAAAATCTTGATTTCATGCCACCAGAAATGACTAATCCAGAACTAATCCAGGAGATCCGTTGACAGTATACGTCTCGATTATTGAAAGTACATCCAAACGGACTTGTTCTGCGTTGTCGATGAATGCTAAACGTGGGGCATATGGATCGGAAGACGGCAAGCAATGGATGCTGTCAATGCTTCATCAACTCAAACGAACAGTACCCAAATGGCTAGTCACGGTCGTTTCTGATAGTGNGTTCCTTGACATACCGGATTTGTACGTGTATTACCAAAGAGCAATTACTGTGTTATCGAAACTGCTGAGAGTGTCACCATACTCACAGTGTTTCATGGTTTTCATTATGCTGCGTTGCGTAACGCATTTCTCTATTTCTGACTGTGAATAACGCAATCAATAAATAACTCCGTTGTAGGAACAGCAGACCACGCTTGACTGTTATTTCTTTGACGTAATATGCACCCTTCAATGACTCACTAGTTGCAAACAATTGCCTTAAGAGCTGCAATAACAAAACAGGTTTGTCCATACCACCATAACTCTATGTGCTAAATTTTTCAACATACACAACCGCAAAATTTTTTTCTTTCAGTGTGTATAACTAGAAAAAGTTTGGTTACGAAAGTATTCCCTGCAATGTTAAATGGTAGGACGTGCTCGAATGGCTTCAATTCATTCTACTCCATGAACTAACAAAAGATGGCCTCAAGAACAAGTTCCATAGAATGCATTGTTTTTCATCGCCATCAAATCATCATCTCTGGTTTCTACCAGAAGATCGCTGCAGTTGGTTCTTGTAGTCCACCCAGTATTCATTGTTGTTATTTTCTCTCTTGCCATGCCTGTTTGTTTTAGTGTTATTGCATTCTGTGCATTTGTAGTATTTTTCTGTCTAGCAATGAGTTTCTATATTTAGCTTCGAAATATGCATGTCATTTTCTCAAACGAATCAACTACGTTCTGTTTTGCGCAGTTCTATTGATTATCAAACCGGAAATATCTCGTACATAGACATGGATTTGCGAAGTCGAGCTACAGTAAAGGCACGACTGGTTTTGTTTGCTAGGTCAGTAACAGAAAAGTGGAGCACCCTAGTCACCAAAGGTCGCCTAAGTACCTTCAATCAGAGTCAATACCAAAATTAGTCCTCCCAAAATGTACGATTTTCCAATTCAATAAGATCTTTTCTGAAATCCATCCTAAAAGTGGGTCGAAAGCGATAACCAACAATTGTTATATACAGCACCGTTACAAGTCAAAACAGCTGGTCGTGATTGTCAGCACATTGATGACTGCTCAATCATCAAACCTCAATTACCGTAAGACAAACCACAAGGTCTAGTGATTCCCTCCCTGCGCCCTCATGGCCTCCTACCCTTAGTGAATAGTTCGAGGGATGAAGGTTTTTATCAAATCAGGTCGGACGAGTCACAAAAATGATTTTAGGGACCCAAAAAATCATGTCAACTCATATACTGGCTTAGAAACGTTATGTGAAGAGGCTAGTGACGTAATTCTACACATCACCGTCCTCATTTGCATCGAGATAAAGTTAAGCAAATAGTCACAATGACTTCGCTAGTCATTTGGTAACGCGTCCCACATGTTGCTGTTATACCTGGTCCTAGTTAATGTATTAAAATTTGGTGATTGAGCGAAATTTAACGTCTTTGAAACGACAGTCACTCGTGTATTACCAGTAGCCCGCAGCGAATAGTGAGTTATCACTTTTTTCCATTGTTTGGGGTTCGCTTTGTTGTCTCGCGCACAATGCAGCTTCAGCGATCCCGCGAATCGACGTCCGTCTGCGACACGGTGTGACATGATGTACGGCCTCACTACAGCACAGAAAGTCCGTGGGTTGGCAGGTGATCAATCAGGGTGAAGAATAACTTGTTATCAATGAACCGAGGAGTTGTGCTGAACGAACGCGGATCTAAACGCAACATTTCGTTCTCAGATAAAACCTCTACAGTCAAATTGACAAATAATACGTTCAACCNCTAAAGGTTATTAGGTATCTGTTGACCAGTACCGTCCTCTCTATTACCTTTCCATGTAACCTCACCGAATCCGGATGGCTTCTTTCCGAGAACTACGATCAGGTGAAGCAATCACTGTTTTGACTTTTCCATGACCCATTGTCCCACCAAAATTCTTGGCCCTCCTTCGGTATCCTCGAGGGAACAGGTTTACGTTCTCTACGTCCACTTTTGTTCTCGACATCTGTTGGTATGTTACGGTGTACATCAAGCATTTTAAGAAAGAGTAATGCAATGAAATTGCATTTTAGACTAAGCAGCATAGCTATATGGAGGGTGGTCGCTGATTCTCGAATGTGATACCGGTCAGCATTTGCCCAGGGAAATGGCACTTTCCCTGAATAATATATGATCATTGTGGAAGCGGATGTTTTAACAGGATCAGCAATGGTGTACAAGAGATAGTAGCGATAGTAGCTAAGAGCAATATGATTTACCTGCGTTCAAACTTTATCACTTATGAGAAGCATCACTTCATATTGCGGGGTTCATATTTTGTCGGAGATTCGTAAGTGGTAACCCTTGGTACCTCATCTTTGTGGAAGTTTCGCGTTGTTTTCCATTCGGTTTCGAGACAATTGCAAAACCCTGCCAAGATTGCGTTTTTAGGGGTTTCCTTTAACCCCCTTTTTGTCACTTCAATCACCATTGCCATTTCAGTTTCTTTTGTTAATTTCTTCGGTCAAATTATCTAACCATAGAACATAAAACAAATATAAGAAGCGGGTTGTACAATCTGCTAGGAACGGAGGCGTTCTTAATTGTGTTCCGCGGATTCTGGGAAGCAAGTTTGGCTGTTGCAAATACGTAACGTAATGATGCTCTAAAACGTGAGATGACCCAGCGATGTTCGATATTGATTATGTCAGAAGGTGATGCTCTTCTTTAAGATAACTCAAAATTAAAATGAAGAATGAAGTGAACCTAGTATTCCAATCACCGAACCGCCTGTTAGACGGATACCGCTAAACGAGAAAGAGGCCAATCATAGAACCGATCAAACACGGCCAACCTGACGGGACAGATATACACTCCGAAGTCACATAATGGTTCATCATAGGTGTATTGAAATTACGAAATTGATTTTAATAGTGGATGCCCCCATTCATAAGGACGATCAAGAGGCTGGGCTGTATGTTCGTTCACTTGTTTCTTGCCCAGGCAGATCAGCTTAGTGTTATTGCATGTATTTCAGTCATCCGCCATTAAATTAGTTCATTGGTTTTCTTTAAAACTCTCCCAAAAAACTGTGGCCAGGTCATCCCAATATCGAATGTATTTTCATTCTTGTCAATAAATGGCACAGTTAAGCGGGATCAACCTATGCCCGACTCAGTGCCCATCACCGTATGGTCTGATCTTTAATACATCAGACAAAGCTTTCAGCATGCGCCATATAACAATCGAGAACCACTTAGACAAATACCGAGAAGATAATTACAAGTGCCTGAATGGAGCATAATAAAGAAAAAATATCCTCTTCAGTAAGATGTGTGAACTGCTATTAGGCTGAAACCATTAGTGGGCCGCCATCACTAAAAGTATCGATGGATTGCATTGATTGATAATCCGCATGGACAGACAACCTTTGTCAGCGTGTCTTAGTCAGTCGCCTGACCATTTTCAAAACACCCCATCTGATCGGAGAAATGTACAGCCTGGATTTTGAGATACCTTTGGTCTAGTCACTAAACGAATTGACACCAAAACAAAAAACATGGAGCGAAGGGCAAATAGTACTCAGAAAAAAATGAATCTGACGATTGCGCTGGTAGCCTATATGGTACTCTGCCATGTAGGCGCAAAATCTTGTACCTGGGCACTGTCTGCTTCTCATCACTGAGATGTAACCAGATTGCCATTGAGATGTAATTTAAAAACAATTGAATAAATCCGCGTATTATTAGCCGTAAACGTGCTTGTTCACAATCGTAATGGTACCGTCATCATCGTCATCATCATCATCGTCATCAACAACATCGTCAACATCAACATCATCATCATCATCATCATTATCATCATCATCATTGTCATCATCAACGTTCTCATCATCATCATCATCGTCATCATCATCATCGTCATCAACAACATCGTCAACATCAACATCATCATCATCATCGTCCTCATGATCGTCCTCATCCTCAACATCAGCACCATCGTCATCACCAACATCATCGTCATCATCATCACCATTACAATCGTCGTCATCATTATCATCATCACCATCATCATCGACATCTTCAACACCAACATCATCATGATCATCATCACCATCAACCTCATCATCATCATCATCGTCATCATGATCATCATCGTCATCATCATCTTCATCATGATCATGATCATCGTCATTATTATCATCACCATCACCATCATCCACATCATCATCACCGTCAACATCATCATTCCAATCATCATCAAAATCGACATAATCATACTCATCATCAACGTCGTCATCATCATTATCGTAATCATCATCATCACAATCATGATCATCGTCATCATAACCATCATCGTCAACATCATCATTGTCCTCATGATCGTCATCATCATCTCCGTTATCATCAATAACTTCCTCATCATCATCATAATCAACAACATCATCATTATCATCGTCATCATCACCATCAACGTCATCATCATCAACATCATCATCACCAACATCATCGTCATTATCGTCATGAACGTCATCATCATCACCAGCGTCATCATCATCATCGTCAGCATCATCATCATCGTCATTCTCATCATGAACGTCATCATCATCATCATCATCATCGTCATTATCGTCATGAACGTCATCATCATCATCACCGTCATCATCATCGTCGTCAGCATTATCATCATCGTCATTCTCATCATGAACGTCATCATCATCATCATCATCATCATCATCATCATCGTCATCATCATCATCATCATCATCAACATCAACGTCATCATCATCATCATCATCATCATCGTCATCATCAACACAATCATCATCAACATCAACGTCATCATCATCGTCATCATCAACACCAGCATCATCAACATCATCAGCAACATCATCGTCATCTTTGTCATCATCGTCATCATCATCATCGTCATCATCATCGTCATCATGACCATCATAATCGTCATCATAGGCATTATCATCATAACCATCACCGTCCTCGGCATCGTCGTCATCATCAACCTCATCCTCAGCATCGCCGTCATCATCATAATCGACATAATCATTTTCACCATCATCCTCATCGGCATCATCATCAGTACCATCATCGTCCTCATCATCATCATCTTCATCTTCGTCACCATCATCATCATCAACATCATCGTCATCATCATCACCATTACAATCGTCACCAACATCGTCATCATCATCATCGTCATCATCATCGTCAACATCAACATCATCATCATCATCATCATTATCATCATCATCATTGTCACCATCAACGTTCTCATCATCATTATCATCATCATCATCATCATCATCATCGTCATCATCATCATCATGGTCATCATCATCGTCGTCGTCGTCAGCATTATCACCATCGACAACATCCTCACCGTCGTCATCATCAACATCATCTCCATAATCATCACCATTCCAATCGTCATCATCAACGTCAACATCATCATCATCATCATCGTCATTATCATCACCATCCCAATCGTCATCATCATCATCGTCATCTTCATCATTATCATCTTGAGCGTCATTATCATCATCGTCATCGTCTATATCATCATCAGCGTCAGCATCATTATCATCGTCGCCAGCATCATAATTATCTTCCTTTTCATCATCATCATGAATATCATCATCATCATTATCTTCCATATGATCATCATCAGCATTAACCTCATCATCATCATCGTCATCATCATCATCATCATCGTCATCACCACCATCATCGTCAACATCAACATCATCAGCATTATCATCATCAACATTGTCATCGTCATCGTCGTCATCAACATCGTCATCATCATCATCATCATTATCATCATCTTCACAATCATCTTCATCGTCATCACCATCATCTTCATCATCAACATCACCCACATTGTCATCATCATCAACATAGTCATCAGCACCATCATCAATATGACCTTCGCGATCATCGTGATCATCATTATCATCATCAGCGTCATCTTTATTATCTTCATCATCCTCATCATCATCATTGTCATTATCATCGTCCTCATCATCATCGTCGTCATCATCATCATCATCATTATCATCATTCTCATCTCCATCATCATCGTCATCATCATCATCATCATCGCCATCATCGGGATCATCATCATCGTCATCGTCATCATCATCAACATCCCCGTCATCAGCATCAACAACATCGTCTATATCATCATAGTCGTCATCGTCATCATCATCATCTCCAGCATCATCATCCTAATCGTAGTCATTGTCATCATCTTCATGATCGTCTTCATCATCGACATTATCATCATCACCATCATCACAATCACCATCATCGTCATCATCATCATCTTCGTCATCATCATCATGATCATTGTCATCATCAACGTCATCATCATCATTATCACAAGCATCAAGTTGATGTCCTTCATCGTCATCATCCTCATCATCAGCTTCATCATCATCGTCAACATCACCATCGTCACCATTATCGTCATCAACATTGTCATCATCATCACCATCATCAACATGATGTTCGTCATCGTCATCATCATCGTTGTCATCATCATCACAGTCACCATCATCGTCAACATCATCGTCATCCTCACCATCGTCACGAACATGATCGTCATCATTATCATCATCGTCAAAATCATAATGGTCGTCATCAGCATCATCTTCATCAATAGCATTTTCATCATTTTCATCAACATCGTCATCATCATCATCATCATCATTATCCTCATCATCATATTCAACTTCATCATCATCATCATCGTCATCATCATCATCGTCATCAACATCGTGATCATCATCATCTTCATCATGATCATCATCAAATTCGTCTTCATCATTGTAATCATCATCATCGTCTTCATCATTAGCATCAAAATCACCGTCATCGTCATGATCATGATCATCGTCATCATCACCATCATCATCAATACCAGGGTGATCATTGTCGTGATCATCGTCATCATCATCATCATCTTCATCATCATCGTCATCATCAAATCACCATCATCATCAGCAGCATCGGCACCAATGTCATCATCATCATGATCATCATTAACATCGTCATCCTCATCTTCATCGTCATCCTCATCATCATCGTCTTCATTATCTTCATCATTATCATGCTCGTCATCATCATCACCCTCAACGTCCTCAAATTTATCATGATTCAGAACTTCATCATCGCCATCGTCGTCATCATCATCATCACGGAATCCATAATCTTCAACACCGTCATCAGCATCATCATCATCATCATCGTCACCATCAGCATGAACATCGTCATCATGATCATCATCAACATCATCATCATCATCGTCGTCCTCATCGTCATCATCATCAAAATCTTCACCATCTTCATCGAGTTCATCAACATCATCATCATCATCATCATCATCGTCAACATCACCATCATCACCATTATCGTCATCAACATTGTCATCATCATCGTCATCATCATCATCAGCATCATCGTCGTCATCACCATCATCATCATCGTCATCATCATCATCATCATCACCATCATCGGGATCATCATCATCGTCATCTTCATCATCATCAACATCCCCGTCATCAGCATCAACAACATCGTCTATATCATCATCATCGTCATCATCATCATCACCATCATCAACATGATGTTCGTCATCATCATCGTCATCGTTGTCATCATCATCATCATCCTCATCATCGTATTCAACTTCATCATCATCACCATCATCATCATAATAAATATCACCATCCTCAACGTTATCATGATCATCATCATCGCCGTCATCACCATCATCATATTAATCATCATGATCATGATCATCATCATCCTTATCCTCCACAACACCGTCATCAGCGTCATCGTCATCATCATCTTCTGCATCAACGTCATCATCATCATCATCATCATCATCAATAACATCGTGATCATCATCTTCATGATCGTCACCATCAGCATCATAATCGTCATCATCTTCATCCTCATTTTTAAATCATCATACTCACCATCAGCATCACTATCATCATGATCCTCATCATCACCATCATCATTGTCATCATCATCATCAATATCACCATTACCATCGATATCATCATCATCATCGTGATCGTCATCTTCATCATCATCATCATCATCATCATCGTCATCAATATCGTGATGATCATCATCGTCATCATTATCATCATCATCACCATCAGCATGAACACCGTCATCATCATCATCAACAATATCATCATCATCATCATCATCGTCACCATCATTGTCGTCATCATCATCATCGTCATCATCATCATCATCATCGACTTCATCATCGTCAACATCATCATCATCAACATCATCATGATCTTCATTATCACCATCTTCATCATCTTCATCGTCATCATCATCATCGTCATCATCAACAACTTCATCATCATCATCATCATCATCATCACCATCATCATTTTTCAATCATCATCACCATCATCGTCATCCATATTCTGATCATCATCATCATAATCATCATTATCATCATCCTCATCGTCATCATCATCATCATCATCGACTTCATCATGATCAACATCATCATCGTCGTCTCCACCATCAACATTATCATCATCATCATCGTGATCAACATCATCAGCATCATATTCGTCATCATCAACGTCATCCTCATGATCATCGACTTCATGATCATCATCATCGTCATCATTTTCATCATCATCATCATCATCATCATCATCATCTTCATCATCCTCATCGTTATCATCAATCTCATGTTCATCATCGTCATCGTCGTCATCGTTATCATGAACATCGTTTTCATCATCGTGAACATCATCATCATCAACATCATCATGAACTTCATCGTCATCGTCTTCGTCATTTTCATCATCATCTTCATCATCATCATCGTTATCGCCGTCATCATCATCATCGTCTTCGTCATCATTATCATCTGCATCACGTTGATCATCATCAACACCTTCGTCACAATAGATACCATCATCATCGCCATCGTCCTCACCATCATCATCATCGTCATCATCGTCGTCATCCTCTTCATCATCCTCAACGTCATCATCGTCCTAACCATCGTCAACATTATCATCATTATCATCGTCATAAACATCATCATCATCATCATCATCATGGTCATCCTCATCATCTTGATCCTCATCATTATCATCATTCTCATCTTCATCATCTACATCGTCGTATTCATCATCAGCATCAACGACTTCATCATCGTCAACATCATCATCATCAACATCATCCTCATGTTCACAATCACTATCATCATCATCATCATAGACACCAACATCACCACCATCATCATCATCATCATCACCATCACCATCGTCATCATCAACGTCACCATCATCATCATCAGCATGAACATCGTTTTAGTCATCATCATCAATGTCATCGTCATCATTTTATTCATCATATTCGTCATCTTCAACGTCGTCGTCATGATCATAATCATCGTCGTAATCATCATCATCGTCGTCGTCATCCTCATTATCATCATCATCGTCATCATCATCATCATCATCATCATCATCATCACCATCGTCACCATAATCATCGACTTCATGAAAACCATCATCTCCATCACAGTTTTTTTCATCATCATCATGATAATCATCATCGCCGTCATCATCTTCATCATCATGATCATGAACATCATCATCATCTTCATCATCATCAACATCATCATCTTCCACATCGTCACCAACATCATCGACTGCATCAAAATCATCATCTCCGTCATCGTCATTTTCAGCATCATCATGATAATCATCATCGTCGTCATCATCATCATCATGATTAACATCACCATGATCAGCATCAACATCACCTTCATCTTCGCCATCAACATCAACATCATCGTCATCATCATCATCATCAACGTCACCGTCATCATGTTCATCATCATGAATATCCTCATCATATTCGTCATCAACATGATCATCGTCATCATCGTCTTCAACTTCATCATCGTTATCATCACTGTCATCATGATCAACTGTTTTCCTTGACATCATCATCATAATCTTCATCGTCACCATCCGCGTCATCATCATCATCATCATCATCAACGTCAATATCATCTTCATCATCATCGTCACGATCTTCCTCATCGTCAACATCATCATCACCATCGTCATCATCGTCATAATCGTCATCCTCATCATCGCCGTCATCATCATCATCATCATCAACATTATCCAAACCATCAACATCAACATCATCATCATCATCTTCATCATCGTCATCAACATCGTCATCATCATCTTCTTCATCATCATCATCATCATCTTCATCATCATCGTCATCATCATCATCATCATCCTTATCATCATCATTATCGTCATCATCATTATCATCGTCATCAACTTGGTCATTATCATCATCATCATCATCTTCATCATTACGAAGTCGATCATCATCACCATCATCCCCGTCATCCTCATCATCATCGTTATCATCACTGTCGTCATCATCAACTGCGTCAACATCATGGTCATCATCGTCTTCATCATCATCAACGTCGTCATCATCATCGTCGTAATCATCACCATCCTCAACATCAACAACACCAGCATCTTCGTCATCATCAATATCATCATCGTCATCGTCATCATCAACATTATCATCATCATGATCATCATGATCATCATCGTCATCATCATCATCATCCTCAGTAACATGTTCATCATCATCAAAGTCAACATCTTCATCGTCATCTTCATCTATATCCTCAACATCATGATCGTGATCAACATCATCTGCATCAACATCATCATCATCATCATCATCATCATCATCTTCTTCATCATCGTCGTCATCAACTCCATCATCATCATCGTGAACATGATCATCATCGTCATCATCATCAACATCATCATCCTTATCATCATCTTCACCGTTGTCATCATCATCAACTTCAAGATCATCAAAAGCGTCATCATGTTCATCATCAACATCTCCAACATGTTCACCACCATCGTCGTCGCCATCGTCGTCATCGTCATCACCGTGATCACCATCATCATCAGCATCATCATCTTCTTCAACATCGTCATCATCACCATCATCATCATCCTCATCGTCTTCATCATTATCATCATCATCAACATCACCATCGTCATCAACTTCATCTTCATCATCCTTATCATCATCGTCATCAAAAACAACATCATTATCTTCATCATCCTCCACTTCATCATCATAATCCTCATCATCTTCACCGTCATCAACATCAACATCATCATCATCATCGTCATCATCATCATCGTCATCGTCATCCGTGTCATCATCATCATTATCGTCATCATCACCATCGTCATCTTCATCATCATCATCATCATCATCGTCATCATCATCAGCATCACCACCGTCATCATCAATATCATCATTCACATCATCGTCATGTTCATCATCCTGATCATCGTCATCATCATCATCGTCATCATTATCATCAAGATCATCATCATCATCAACCTC